TGCACAAATTTAGTGTGGTACATACAGCCATTGCTCGTCTCCTTCCAGGTGCTGCTTGAGCGACCAGCTTTCTTTATGCTGAACACAGTGAGTCCCTCATTCAGCACCTCCAACATTTAGGCTGGGTTCACACCTGTGCGTACGGAATATGCGCGTTTGCCAAAGCCAGCAGTTAATGCTTGCAGGGTGGGGGTGGGGAAACCCCACTACACAGGGTCATGGTTTTTGCCTGCAGTTCTACTTTAAAGTAGACCTTTTTTCCTTTCCTCACTCTTGTAACATAGTGATGTCTTAAAAATCCGCTCCATCAATTTCAAATGCACTCTAGGGCTGCAGCTAACTATTTTCATAATTGATTGTGTGTGTGTGTGTGTGTAAAAATCTCCCAATTGTTTAGTTGGTTGCAGCCCTAATGCACTCCTCGCCTAAAAATGTACATGATGATAAACTGTTCTGTTAAATGCAAATTTCAACATTTTATTAGGACCATGAAAGCACCTTCATATGCCTACTGGCTTAGACAACAGTGACATGTGGCTGTCCCAGAATGATGTCTTTAGTGTCAGCTTTGGTAGCCAGATGTCTTCTCTATGCTGTGTTTCTTGGGGGGGGCAGAATTTGTGTGCAATGATTATCTACCAGTGGAGAGGAGTTTGGTTCATATTTAACAGCAGCTTGTGTAAACCTTAGAAAAGTGTATGTCTTAAAGGGTTGCTGTATAGCAATTCTGTCCATTATTTAAGATACCAGTAAATCTATAGAATGCCTGCAGAGAAAAGCGGAGTGCATGCCCTACTGCCCGCACAACTGAATTCCACTGTGTTCCAGAACAAAGCTAGCCAAAAAAAATCTTCTGCATCTGACACTTGCTGGAGTGTCGGATGCTGTGCACTGTGGTTTCATCCAATGATTCCTGTACCTTCACAATAGCGGTGCGGTGTATGTTGCGGCTCAGGGAACCACAGAGCACAATGATGGACAACGCAAGTGTGCCAAATGTTGATTTTTCAGTAGGATCATAATGTCATCTCTGAAAGGCTGCTGAATTTGGTGCTGGGGACATCGGGAGGGTATGTATTCAGCTTTACTCTGCAGGTATGCCTTCAGCTTTTAAAGTTGCAACTGAATCAGAAATGTAGCTATTAAGTAATCTATATGGACTTCAAGGGTGGACAAATTAATGTGGTATTCCAGAGCCAGTCTGTCCAAACCAAGAGCCAGCCATCTTTCTTGGTTTTTGTAAGTAGACCGCTCCATTGACAAAAACTACAGAAAACCTGGAAGTTAGGCATCTGCTGTAAATCTTTCAGGAGCATTGGCTACAGTTTTCCCTAGATGGCTGGTGAGGCTTGCAAGGGGAAATTGTTTATTTTTGTAATAACATGTGCAGGTGCCTCTACACAATGCCGAAATAGTCTTTACAATTTTAAGTCCGCAGTAACCTGCTTCTAAGACTCGTAGATTCTTGACTTTTCATGGTCACTGATCATGTATAAACATTGCTATGTTGGTCAATATTTTTGAAGTCCTTTTGATGATAAATAGCAGATCTTTTAGGTTTCACCTAGCTGAAAATAGGACCTGAACTTTCAGGCTGTTTAGACAGTCTTTTGTATAGGTGTTGGGTAATAGGCCTAATTTGCAATTCTTTTGTCTGAATGGGATACACCTTGCCCTATTCACTTGGATACAATACACATCAACTTCTTTCTTCCTGCACGCTTTGCAGTGTTTGCATTACATGACCCTGGAGATCCATATGAATACAACTACAGTATGCAGAACAGAAGTGGTGTGAATATATGTAGAATATATTCCCAATTGGATAGCAGTGAGACCAATCTTTGGATTATAGTGATGGCATTCTTGTAAACACATGGAGGCGAATTTATCAAAACTAGAGCAGGCAGAATCTGGAGCAGTTGCCCATGGCAACCAATCGGCGTCCACCTTTCCTTTCCAAAGCTTAACTCGCATGTGTCAAACTCAAGGCCCAGAGGCCGAATCCGGCCCACGAGGCCATTTCCTAGACTTCTACTTTCAGATCTAGGTATTAAGTTATTACTAAAACCAGTGATAATCGAATGCAGAGGCAATTATGATTAAAGATTAGATGCATTTATATAGTCTTGGATACCTTTTTGAGGGCAGCAATAATGTTGATGCGGCCCACAATTTGAGTTTGGCACCCCGGCCTTAACTGATCAAAGTGAAGAAAGAAGCTGATTGGTTGCCATAGGCAACTGCTCCAGATTCTTCTGCTCCAGTTTTGAGAAATTCCCCCCCCACTTGATTTGTTGGGCAATATAAATTAGTAACTTATAAGACGCAATGGAAATTTCGGAACACCCCACCTAACAAAGTGGCCAGTTACTGCCAAGCGTAAAACAATTGATGCTTTTATAAGCAAAACTACTTGATGTTTATACTTGTGGTTCCATGACTATATAGAATTAGGTCATGGTTCTGTACCTATTACATGCAGCATGCTTTAGTACCCTTCGGCTTCTAAATTTAGAAATGGCTGTTTTGTGAGCTGGTGTTTTTCCTTGCCAGAAACTGGGGCACCAGTAACTACTGTATATTATTTTGTAATGCATGTATGAAATCTGAAGAGCTAATGGCTACCTACCCCTAACCTCAGCCCAGTTTCTTACCTGACCCTAAGGCCTCATTCACACACAACGCAAGAGCAACTTTGTATATTGCGTTTATACGAGCGCGTATGTATGTGCGTATATGAGTGCACGATTTGCATTCCCAAAATGCATCATTCCTAATAGAAATGTTAATGAACTGTATGCGCATACGCTCGTATACACGCGCAAACATGTTTATGCTCGTAAAATACGCTGCCCGGACGCATCTCGGTTCCATTCTGTTTTTGCGCATTTTTACGCTACGCAAATATACGTCTCCATACGCGTCTTGTGTATGGAGCCATTTATTTGCATATGGTACAATACGCACGTACGCGTAGTAGTGTGAATGAGGCCTAATGCAGGGAGTAATCTCATGCAAAAATGTACTTGGTCTGATAAATACTATATTGCTGCTGTGAGAAAATATAATTGAATGTTGAGGCAATATTGTGATATCTTTGTCTGGAAATATGCAACAAAAGTTTTATTGCCTACACTCGCCAAGCAATTAACGCATATTAATGCTGGATAGGGGCCTCCTATTGAAGCTTCAAAATGTCCTCAATTCTTCATGGCATTGATTCCACAAACCTTCCTTGACATGGGTGCATCGTACAATTTTTGCATATCTCTCAACTAAACAATGCAAATCTGCCTTTCTATCACATGCCAAAGGTTTTATTGGCTTCAGGTCTGGTGACTGACCTATCTGTGTGCAGAAATAACAATTCATCAGACCAGGCTACGTTTTTCTTTTCAGGCTCCAACTGTCCAGTTTTCATAAGCTTGTGCCCACAGCAGCCTTGGCTTACTGTACCTGGCTGATGGCAGTACTTGACTTGGTCCTCTGCTGCTGTTGTCCATCTGCCTCAAGGTCTGACGTGTGGTACATTCTGGAATGCTTTTTATGATGTCCGCAGTTGTGAAGAATTGTTGCTGAGTTTCCATAGCCTTTCTCCCAGCTCGAACCAGTCTGGCCATTTTATCTTCTGACCTCCTCCATCCTCAGAACTGCTGCTCACTGGCTATTTTTTTGTTCTTCACACCATTCCAAGTAAACTCCAGAGTGCAATAGTTCCTGGAGATCAGCAGTTGCATAAATACTCAAACCAGCCCACCTGGCACCTGCAATCAAAATAACCCCCCACCCCTCTTTTTTTTTTTGTGTGCATTTGACCAATTTTGGTGTTTGATGTGAACATGAAGCTCCTGACCTTTTTTACCTCCATGATTTTCTGGATTATGCTGCTGCTGCCACAGTTGGCTGTTGACTGGCTTGTTACCTGCACATAAATGTCTATGTCCATATCAAATCTTGATGTCCGCCTTGGCTGCTGCTGCCTGTTTATAATGGCTGCAATGAATCTGCTGAATTTAGAGTCTGAGATATAACAGTCAATGTGTAGTTGGGTACAAGTGAGGTCAAGCGATTCATCCATAACTCTCCAGCCTCCTAGTATTTGTGATCTAAGTTACAATGCCGCTATGTATCTAGCAACCATTTGCAAATAACACCTTTTTTTCAGTGTATTGAATGTTTAAGAAATTACCTCTTTAATTATTGCGTTTATTTTTTAAAAATAGTGTAATGCATATGTAAGTTTGTGCCGAATAGTATGGTAATTCCATTGTAATTCAGGGAGCGTGTGCATTTTCACCTTCACAAGCTCTGGCTCTTCATTTGGTCTCTTTAGTTGAACCAGCCAAAGGATGATGTAACCAGTTACACAAGCTGTTCTCATTGTTTGACGTTGCTGTAGGCCTCCTCCATTGTATTATCTCCGAGGCTCTATTCCATGTTAGCAGGAACTGTCTCTGAGAATTTCCAAGTACTGTGCAAATCTCAGTTCCATGGCTTTTGTTTCCCCTCTTTCCTGTTCCTAAATGGGATCCTTAACAGAAAGGTCTGTTTTCTGGTTCACCATATAAAAATGTTCTAGTAATTCTGTAATTGGCATTGTGTTGTGGTTCATTTTGATCATGCAGCTTAATTCTTGTTTTTTATTCATTGAGAGTGTTCAACAAATTGAAAAAAATCAACATGGACATTTTTTAGTTATTGAATGATTTACATGGAGTATGTGAAATCTGTTGATAGATAAATGTGTTGTGGAATACCAAGTAATTATCACTCAGATTAAATATTTTTTTTCCTGCTTGTATACTGGAAGTATTAGAGATCTACAGAGTTCCGAAAATGTTTTGTGTGTGTTTTATATTTACGACACTATTCAAATTCACAACCATGGTAATGGTTTAATTGCAGATAATGCAGACTGTTTTGTATATTTTACATGGAGTCAGCTAAGTATTCATCGGTTATAACAGATATCTGTGTTTTTTTTTTTTTGTCCATAGTGCTGCTGGGGGTGAAATCTTCAACCAGTGTGTAGCAGAAAGAGAAGAGGCCTTCAAAGAGAAGGATGTCCAGAGGCTTATGAGGCAGATCTTAAAGGGAGTTTCATTTTTGCACAGGCACAATGTGGTGCATCTTGACCTCAAGGTAAGCACAACTCAATAGGATCTATTATGAGTAGTCCTGTGTCTTCTGTCAATAGTCCGTCTGACATTTCAGCTAATGTTCCATTTGTAGAACCAAGGGGAAACCACTTTTGTGTACGGCTGAAGGACACACAAAAAAATCTGAGCCTTTAACTCCAATAATGGTCTTGTGTTAGGCAGTAGCAGCTCATGCCCTCAAATTATACAGATTTGATGGAACATTCTAGGTGTAAGAGTTGAATGCTCCTAACTTTAAAATTGAGATTTTTGTTGATGGTGAGGTCAATGTTAAAGGCAAAGAGTCAAAAAATAAACAAATAATGGTAAACGAACTCCTCTTATACATATTAGATGTAGTTCGTTAACAGTTGAAACTCAAGACTTGAAAATGTAGATGGCCTATAGACTACATTCAGGTTTTCATGTAGGCATAGCTAGATCCCCTGCATTTAAAAATGGGCACCCAAAAGGGAGTGAGGTGAAGTGGTGCACTATATCTATGTAGGCATACAGGTGAAACTCGAATAATTAGTAACTCGAATAATAAGTAATCTACTTTTTTGAGGTTGTGGATTTGGGGTTTTCATGAGCTGTAAGCCATAATCATCACAATTATGACAAATCACGGCTTGAATTATCTTGCTTTGCATGTAATGAATCTATCTCATATATTAGTTTCACCTTTTAAGTTGCATTAGTGAAATAAATGAACTTTGCACAATATTCTAATCGAGTTTCACCTGTAGATAAAGCGGACATTTCCACTTCACTTTCTGTTGTTGGTGGCCTGCTTACCTGGTTTAAAGTGAGAGGTTTTCTCATACAAGAAGCCACTGCAGGCTGCTTGTCTCATATACAGTGAGCCTGCTGCATCAGTGTCAGTAATCCGAAATTACTCATTTACGACTCATATTCAGAACACAGAATCCAGGAGATCCATTTTGTCACTCCCTCAGTGATGTGACAGTGCTTGAGCTTGCACTGTCATAGGGGAGGAAGTACTGGGTATTGTTGCCAGCTATGGAGGAGGAAGGAGCAGCTGGGGAGTGCAGGTAAAGTTAGTATAATGGGGTTGGAGGTGCCCTTTTGCAGAGGCACTGTTCCTTGATCTTGGTGGGCAGATGGTCAGAATTTAGAGGAGATGACATGACTAAACGCCTAGGCTTTGGGCCACATGACTCCTGAGGAGAAAACCTAGAAATGTGTTTTGTTCAGGAATGGTCGCTATTTACCGTAAGGCCCTGTTTGTCTATATAAAACATTTTGGTGTGTGTGCCTTTTGATCATGGTGAACCTTTTCGCATTGATGGCTTAAGTCCATGACCCAGAACAAGTATGCAGCAAAGGAAGTCACACTCTCTCTGATCTGCATATCTCTTTCACTTCTGTGATTTTAAAGCTTGCCGACTATGGTCAGATGGAAAAAGATGGAACAGATTCCTTCATCTACACTAAACTCTGTGGATGGAGGAATCTCCCACTGGGCCAAGCTTCAGTATCTTGCTAGTTGGCCCCGCTGGCTCTCAAAATATCTGATTGGATGCAGGCATTGTTCCGGTATTTTGAGAGCAGACTAGCAAGATACTGAAGCTTGGCCCAGTGGGAGATTCCTCCATGAACACAGTTTAGCGTAGATGAAGGAATCTGTTCCATCTTTTTCCATCTGACCATAGAAAACTGCAGATAATCTATAGGTGTTTGGCCCGCTTTAAGAAAGTGTTGGCATTGATAGATCAGTCCGGCATCTAGCATTTCCGGAAGGTGGTCTGCCATGGTAGCCCATGTTTCTCACATGACCAGTTTCTTTTAAGAGACTAAATTGGTAACATGCATTACAGATGAGCATGTGCTTATCTGTACATTTGTGGGATCGGATTTGTTAACTTTGAAAATAAAATTCAAACAACAGAGCAGATCCAGTTTGCTTAAAGAGGGGGACGAGCGCTTCTATAACTAATTCAGTGGCTGCAGAGCGTTTTCTAATGAGACAGGCAACTGCTGATCAGACAAATCCCTTTCAGACGGTTTAACCTGCGGCTGTGAAAAATCCGCATTAAATGAATTAATACTTTGTGCTGAACTGTTTGCTACTCGAGGAACATTTAACTGCGGACAATTCTGGCTAATGAACGTAACCAGTAGTGTTCTTGCCTGGTCCTTGCTTTCTTACTTTTGACCTGAATAGTATTCATGTTGAAGATAACTTTCTACTTGCGACCTTTCACTTGCAGGTAGAAGTATCCTTTGCCTAATTAACATGGCTGTAGCTTTTGATTTGCTAGATTTGTTTTTTATCTGGTTGTTTATCTTGGTTGCAAAAGTGATCTGCCAACGTATTGCATAAACATGTTTGATCAAATTCTTAAAGCTGTAGCGTACTCCTGTTCTTGTGTGCTATTATGAGCTGATCCAGAAAGCATGGAGTGGGAAAAGGACAGTGCACATGGCTCAAATTGTAATTTGGATCACATAATTAACTATTAAATCTAATAGCCCGTGCCTTAGGCTGGCTGTACACTGGCCGTTTTTTCCCCCCCTCGTTCAGTCCCTCTCAAACGACCCTTCCTTCCGCACAGGCTGCATTGAGGAAGATCTGCCCCCTGCAGCTATTTGGCTCCATTCACTATTCAGCCTACTGCGGCAACAAAATTTGGGGGTACAACAGGGCCACAGACTGACCTGAGTCAGCAGGACCAGTACATTCCCAGCTTTAGTCTCCCTTTTTTAATTGGCATCCGCAGTGTACTCTTTATCTGGCTCCTCTCCGAGTCCCCCCATGCAGTTTAGGTTATCTTGTCTGATCAGCTAGGGTTGCCTCCTCAAACCATAGACACACACACTGTCATCAAATCCGAGCAAAATTTGCCGACTTTTATATTATGTATGTAGGTGTCTATAAACTCTTCAATCTTATCAAAATGCTTAGTCGCATATACAGCAGACACTTTGTGAGTCTGGTTGCTGTTAATTGTGGCTGAGTAAGCAATTCAAGTTTTGACAATGTTGTAATTGCTAGGGTGTAGTTGCAGGAGAACACGACAGCTCAGCTTGCAAATTAACCTTGGATCCGCTCAGAACAGTATGTACTTGAGAGTATAGGTCTACGTTCTTCCTGAAAAGTAAGATCCAATTCAGAGAAATGCCTTACATCAGAAAGCACATTGAAAACATTGCACGTTATGGGCATGGGTACCCACCATGTTGATGAAGGTCCCGCTTCATTCACACGGGGCATTTAGCTGCGTTCTTGGATTCCTGCGGCAAGAACCTTGCAGATGGTAATGGTAGTTACTTTGTAACCTCAATAAGTACAGTGCTGCACATTGGCCAATACTTGCCTATATCTCTAAATGAGATGGATTTAAAGAGCATAGATTTTAATAATTCTTTTTTTACAGCCACAAAACATTCTGTTGACCAGTGACAGTCCTCTAGGAGACATAAAAATAGTGGATTTTGGGCTGTCCAGAGTAGTGAATAACAACGAGGAACTGAGAGAAATTATGGGGACACCAGAATATGTTGGTAAGTATCTATTACAATGTTAACAACTTTTATTCTGCAACACTTTAAACTGGCTGTAAATAACCTTTTTTAATAATATGGCTTTTGCCGCAGTGGTTATGTTAATGGTGTTTGAAAAAATAGTTTTGTCCATCAGGTTTACGGTTCATATTAAAGCAGTCCAGGAGGCCTGTGTAGCACAGTCTGATTGCTGTGTTGTATGTGCTGTGTATAAATGCTGCTGGTAGCTCATTGAGGAGTGCCGTCTGTGGCCCTGACATGGATGGCTGTGTATGAATCCTGCTGGTAGTTCACGGAGGAGTACTGTCTGTGCACCTGACATGTACTGTGCATAAATGCTGCTGGTAGTTCATGTCAGGTCCCACAAACAGCACTCCTCCGTGATCTCCCAGCAACATTTATACACAGTACATGTCGGGTCCACAGACAGCGCTCCTCATTGAGCAACACTGCAGTATTCATACACAGACACATGTCAGGTCCACGGACAGCACTCCTCCGTGAACGTCTGTGTATGAATCCTGCTGTGTTGCTCACTGAGAAGCGCTGTCTGTGGACCTGACATGTACTGTGTATGAATGCTGCTTGTAGTTCATTGAGGAGTGCTGTCTGTTACCCTGGAAAGCAGAAATCACCAGCACTCAGTAAATATCTTTGATGTCCATTTAATCGGATCAATTGTCATATACAAAATATCGACGTTTCAGGACCGCACAGGATCCCTTCATCAGGGCGACAATGTAACAAGGTTGTTACAGGATCCCTTCATCAGGGCGACAATGTAACAAGGTTGTTACAGGATCCCTTCATCAGGGCGACAATGTAACAAGGTTGTTACAGGATCCCTTCATCAGGGCGACAATGTAACAAGGTTGTTACAGGATCCCTTCATCAGGGCGACCAATGTAACAAGGTTGTTACAGGATCCCTTCATCAGGGCGACAATGTAACAAGGTTGTTACAGGATCCCTTCATCAGGGTGACAATGTAACAAGGTTGTTACAGGATCCCTTCATCAGGGTGACAATGTAACAAGGTTGTTACAGGATCCCTTCATCAGGGTGACAATTTAACAAGGTTGTTACATTTTCGCCCTGATGAAGGGATCCTGTGCAGTCCCAAAACGTTGCTATTTTGTACATGACGATTGGTCCGATTAAATGGACATCAAAGATATTTTACTGAGTGCTGGTGATTTCTGCTTTCCACTGTTTGCTGCACGGTCCCATCCGTGATTGTCACTGCGAGCACCACTACAAGTACTTGGGCCGGGAGTGCAGAGGGACTTACTATTTTCTGTCTGTTAGCCTGGCATGGCCGGCTATGTATGAATCCTGCTCGTAGCTCACGGAGTGCTGTCTGTGGCCCTGGCATGGCCGGCTATGTATGAATCCTGCTCGTAGCTCACGGAGTGCTGTCTGTGGCCCTGGCATGGCCGGCTATGTATGAATCCTGCTCGTAGCTCACGGAGTGCTGTCTGTGGCCCTGGCATGGCCGGCTATGTATGAATCCTGCTGGCAGGGTATAGTAAGCAGCAATATTGTACTTGGTTGCTTTGATTTTATAAACCCCCCTCGGTATTCATATGCGATTTCCTTATGCTGTAAACTAGAAAAAAACCTATATATTTTTTGTCTTTTCCTTTGTTTTAGCCCCTGAAATCCTGAGTTATGAACCAATCTTCACAGCTACTGATATGTGGTGAGTCCAAATACTTGATGTACATAGACATTGTTGTGTGGTGATTATGCTATAAAACCAATAACGTCATTGTTTTTATTCCAGGAGTATTGGGGTACTGGCTTATGTCATGCTCACGGGCACCTCTCCTTTCCTGGGAGACGACAAGCAGCACACATTCTTAAACATTTCCCAGCTGAATGTCAGTTACACAGACGGGGACTTTGAAGGGATATCGGAGCTGGCTATTGATTTTATCAAAGCACTTTTAGTGAAGGAGCCAGAGTAAGTACTTGTCCATTCATCCCCCTGTACACATCTATTTCCTCAGTTTATCTGCTGCTTCCTGTGTGTCTGCATCCATCTCTCCCTTCCTCCTTCCACCGGAACTGCTGACTGCACATTGTTTACTATATGAATAATTGCTTATGGTGCACCTTTCAGACTAGCTTGTCTGGATGTTGGTTCCTGAAAGCATCAGTATGTCATATCTGTTGTGGAAAGTGAATTCTACACCTTGGCTGATTCTTCGATTTATCTCACTTGTTTTCTGTTTTAATAATACAGCATTTCATACAATTAATAGAGCATGACCAGGTCTCAGTCCCAAAATGGGACCACTTAAGACGAAAAGTATGTTTTTCTTAAGCCGTTTTTTAGAATGTACTACAAACTCTCTAAAGCAGAGAACATCTGAAATAAAACAATAGTCCCAATTTTTAATGCAACACAATATTTGTATTCCTGTTGACACTAAATTACACTAATTCTAGTGTACACAGACACAAAATATTAAAGAAGATTTAAAAAGACTGCCCCGTTAATAAAAACTAGATGTTAGGCCTCAAAATTGCGACATGGCAAAATTTTATAGCCAAAATTGCAAATAGGGGGGCATATTAAAAACATTAACTGTCAAGCATCACCCTAGAATTGTCCGCCTAGTGTTGTGCAATCTTTTTAAGAACGTACATGTGTCCTAGGTATGAGGATGGGGGTAAAAAAGAAAAAAAATAGTTTTTACTTGCAAATGGTATCGCAGTGACCCTCACAAGTCCCTTATGTGATTTATTTCAGAAAATAAATATGTTTACAGCTTTAAACCTGGAAGTGCTCAGAGCTGTGCACTATTGGGTTCATTGCTCATAGAGATTGAAGAACCAGGGCACCACTTCCAGTAGGTGCAGAGGGGATGGCTTCTATGAGAGTGCAGAGCTGGCTGTAAAGTATGTGGCTACAAAGTTTGTCCTCTTCTCCCACTGTAGTTCTGGCGGTGGCAGTACAAATATTAAAGCCTGTTGGCACTTGAAGAGTACATAAAATGCTTTAATTGCATAGTGCGTTCAACAAAATGCATTAAATTATGCAACTGTGGCGTGGTTGACTTTGAATGTGGTAATACTTTTCTTAAGGCACTTTTCATCACATCAGAAGCTGCTTCAAACCAGCATCCAGCTATAATTATGACTTTGCTACACATCGCTATTACCCAAGCCAGATAGCTTAATGGTTTTGAGATGCCATCCTTAACATGCATGCACACTGTGGTCATTAAGAAACACAGAGGCACAATTGCTGTAGAGTCTCATGTTTTGAAAAGTGTGATAGCAATTTCTTGTTGCCTATAGTAATCGCGCAGCATCTAACTCACTTCTGTAATGTAATGATTGTTTACACGCTATGGGCAACAGAAGTGAATGGTCAGTTTGTTTTAGCCTACTACAAGCAAACATATTCAGACTTCATGGTGCCATTACTGAGATTATAGCCACATTGTTTGCATAATCAACCACGAACAAGTCATTTGGAACGTCACTATTTTAATATTCGCAAATGCCAACCAAATATTTGTTGCATATAAAATGTTTTTTTTTCTATCTTTTTGTTTTTTCCCCACTGCATGTCTTTTTCAATGCTTTAGTATGGTCTGTATTCCTAAAATATATACGCTTTGTGTTTTACATGCATTCCCTGGTTTATATGGTGTATCATTTGTATCAAAAACATAAAGCTCACCATCTATGTTACAATTTTCCTTAGATTTACCAAAAATATGTTGTATATGGACCTATCTTACCGTCCAAGCAGATGGGCCCTTGCACTACATACTTGTTGGTAGATCTAATGGAGCTTGGTCAACGCCGAAATGTCACACGGCATTGTTCCTTGCAGTGTTTCTTTTTGACAGTGAGATGGGAAATGGCTGTCTGACCGACTATATCCTAAGAAATGTGTAAAACGCATTCATAAATACTTACATTAATTCCCGTTCTGGAGATGGTCACTGTGGTGCCCTGCCCAGCACTACACAGGCTTTGCACAAAAAAAGTCCTAGCCATATTGTGCCTACTGTACATGCTTATCTTTGTATAGGGAATTCCTTCTTTTGGGGCTGCCATTATTACAGCCCCAGTCACAGCAATCGATGGAGAGAGCGGCTTGAATGCTCTGGAGGCGGCTGGGTATTTTATGAGCAAAGACTCTGCAGCACCAGGAAGGGCTGCCCAGCGGTGAACTCTGGAACAGGGCTGAAGTATTTACTTTTGTGACTTACACAGGGATAGGGGAAGTTATATATGTATATATGTATATGTGTATATGTGTTCAACTTCACTTGGTTATTTTAAGAATGTTTTTCATTTTGGATGGTGTAGAACTGTTTGCGTGTGTGTAATAAGTAAACTGATAAATGATTGAAGTACTTATGGGTGTGTTCATGGTGGCCATAACCTAAAACCCATTAGACTTGCTTGGTGGGTTCTTAATTTGATAAGGGACCATGTTCTAAATGTTTGCTTTCCTTTTTGTTGGGCAGAGGTCGGGCAAGTGCAGAGGAATGTCTCCAGCATCCATGGCTAGCTGAAGGTGATCTCCCGGATCCTTATGCTAGTGCTATGAATTCTGTACAGGACAGCAGCCAAGCAGTACAATCGGAGGAGGAGGAGCTGAAAGCGGAAAGTTCCCTGGAAACCAGTCCAGGTCAGGAAGACTCGGAAGAACAGACTGTGACCGAGGAGTTGATATTAATGGCTTCTTACACATTGGGACAGTGCAGACAGACTGAAATAGAAAAACAATCTGAATCTAAAGCCATTACGAAGAGATTTAAGTTTGAAGAGCCAATGTTGCAAGAGATCCCTGGAGATTTTATCTACTGAGCTCTGGCACTTGGAACTGTGACTTCTAGAGCTCGGAAGTGTTTTCTTCTTAGTTATTGAGCTTCTTGATTGACCAGAAGTTTAAGTCAGCCTGCTGACTACTGGTTACCATGGCAAGACGAATTTGATTCAACAGGGCCATGTTCAATCTCAGATTAAGCAAGATCTGTCTATTTTGAGTATTTTTTTTTTATTTTATTTTTTCTGGTTTGTGCCTAAACACCACCATATTCTCCAATACACGGATTCCTTGACATGGCAGCATATCGGCTCCTGCGGTCCATTCTAAGATGTGGTTAGAGCAATACTGGAAAAGACTTTTTTTTTTTTTTTTTCTACAAACATTTTTGTTGGAATAAATATATTTTAATAAAAAGAAAGTAAATGTAAAATTGAAAAAGCTTTGGGCAGTATGTGCCTGCAACCTGAAGCTTGTAAGAAAGGTCTTAAGTAGCTTATCAGCTAATTTGCATACATATAGATGAACGTATGGTACTTCCGAAAAAGACAAGGGCTAGATACAAATGAATGTGTTACAGATCAGATTGTACTTTTTTGTTTGTTCAGGAGAAGACGAGAATAAAAACCAGGGCTATAAATACCATACGGAAATAGTCATTTAGTAGAGGTGAATTCGCTGTATACGTAAATGGTAGTGACTGGGGATCAGATGTGGTCTACACAACATTCCCATTGTGAAGGAAGCTCAGAAGAGATCAGTGTTCTCTATTAACATGTTGCTGTAGCCCGGGGCTGGACAAACCCCAGGAGCTAGGTCGCCAATATTCCTACAAAATTACAGCTGGCGCCTAACTTTTGAGGTTTTCTCTAGTTGTCAATGGAACTGACTCCTGGATTTCCAGATGAATTTGTCCACCCCTGTTGTAGCCAATAGACATGCAGTAGAAGCAACTTGTGACACCGTTCCCAAACACCAGCATCGCAGCTTGGGTGTGAAATGAGGCAAGAAGGGTCTGGAAAACATCCCATTCAGATGAAGCAAATTGTTTCTTGCAGAATGTCTTTGTTAAAAATCTTTAGCAACTCGCTGAACACAATAACATTTCAGTGTATCTTTGCACATTCATTGCCAAATGATCAGGTGCCAAAATGTGTTGTAACCACTTAATCTCATCAGAACAATAGATGCATCTTTTCTTCTCCAAGTAAGAGTGAAACTTTGAATTTCCTTATCCCGAGTATCAGAGTAACACAACAATAACATGCAAAGCCTAGGCTGCCGCTAGTCACCACAAAGTGGGTTTCCACTGTCTGGGGGTGCTGTCTATTGGTAGTTCTAGAAACGTTGGGGAGCTGTCTGCAGTGGATAGTGACGCAAGCTAACATGGCGTGCTACATAGACATCAATACTTTCACTTCCTTAGATCTGTTGCTTTTCTGTTTCCGATAGATGGGAGCAGCCATGTGAATGGGGAATTCAATTTGCACTATTTTGTATTATCTTGTGTAGTAGGAATCTTAATATTATTCTGGCAGTTACTGTACTCTTCTTTCTTTAAGCTAGAGATGAGACTTTATATGTCAGTCAATCTGAACTAAAGCTGATTGTTCAAGTCCTTCTTGGATTGAGTACTTCAGTTAATGGTCACTGAGTTCACGAAGTGTCGCATAATGCTGCTTTTGTGTAATCTGCAGCATTGGACAGGTCGTGTTTGCACTGCATGAGATTTATAGCTAGCGTGTTGTGCAAAGATTTCTAAGTAAACGAAAACAGTTCTGTGGAATATGTTGCCTGTAAGATGCCTGCAGACTTCCTGAAAATAGATTGCGATCTCTTGTGGGTTTAACGAAACCTGTTTCTTTATAAACTTGTAGCGGTACGGCCCTATTGTAATCATCACTGTTAAAAAGGCAGTTCCAGGCCCCGTGTCATTGGTAATGGCATCTGATGTACTGTGTATGGCCTAGAACATCACATTGCATGTTCTTTGATACCAGCAATGTAATCGTATACGGTTTACTGCAAGGCTAGCTCTACATGGGTGTTCTGCTCCTGACCAGTTTCATGGCTTTGCCTTTTATTTGCAGCCTAATGAAGTGATATCTGATTACATTGTTCACTAAATTTTCCCATGCTGGTCTTGTTCGTCTCCATTCACACGTGATCATTTTTAGGCAATCCCATTGCAGTCTTTGGGGCCTATATTGTGTGATTCTTCACGGGAAAAAGCTCATTCACCTTTTTGAGCTACAGGGGACACCGTGCTCAGGTGTGAATGGGCACCATTGAAACTAATGGGATTCTTTATGTTGAGTGTGAGAGTGCTTTTAAAAAGTCAACCCCTTCTCTGTAAAATACATAATCCTGCTTTACATAGTCTGGTAAGCCCAAGCCGGGAGAGTGCAGTATAGACTGTGGCACCAGTTTTTGAGATCCAGTCCCTAATCTTTGAGCTGCGTGACGCTGTACTGTGTCCATAGAAAGTAATTGCCCTACTCTTTGCATGCAGGCAGTTCCGAGTAGTCACAATTGTTTCCCCTATGCATAGTGCAGTGCTGCATGGTTTGGCATACGGACTGCACTAGGATGGAGAAAAAGCTGGAGCTCGTATAGTACGGTCTAGTCCTTGGAATATGTGAGGTAGGATCATTCTGTTTCAATAGCGGCGTGAGTCGGGGGGGGGGGTGTGATCAAATGACTGGTACAAGTACACTTACATTTTAATGGTGGTACTATAGCCTCTGCAGTCAGCGTACAAATTGCACTCAACTTGGACTTCAGCATTCTCTTTCTATAAAGCGACCTCTGTGCTGTGGTTAGTGTAGTGCGGCACGTTTCGACATACAAGGCTCGTGTGAAGTAGCGGAACACCGAGGAGTAGCTTTCCATACAAAGCACGGGCATGTCTGCAGAGTCATATGCAGTATGTTGAAGTCGTGCCATTGTTTCTGTTTGGTTTTGCTTTATTAGGGGAAATGCTCTTAATGTCTTCCAACAGCAAATTTAGGGTGAAGGAGAAAGGTCGCTACGTGAATCCAAGACCTGGAGCAAGCAGCCATGCTGTAATTCATGGACTGTACCAGTTACTAGGCTTTTATCAGGGCAGTAATGTCACTCGGTGTGCTTGAAACTGTTCTACTTTGCTTAGCTAATGAGGAGAAATCACTTTTCAGGAATCCCTAATCCATATAGAAGGGGGTAAACACCAAAAAACTTGCACATTGGAGTTAGCACAACTTTACACAATCACTTTTGCAAAGAAACATTTTTCCTGAGCTTAGTGAATGAGGTGAAGATGTGCTGACCTCAACCATCCAGTCATATGCGAGCAAACATCCTTTTACTGTCTATTTTCTTAGGAAAGTGAATGATCGCTGTTTCACCTCATCACTAAGCAAAGTGTAAATTCAGTTTGATCCGTTCAGCTACACTGAATCTGAATAGGTTTATTGGCATGGCTGGCAGGCAGACCTGAGGAAGGGAATGGCTGCTTCCATCTAAAGCATGTTTTGTCTCATTTAAGATTCCTATAGAGGACAAATGTCTGTATTTGCAATGAAAGCAGACTGTTTGTTTTTAGTGAGCATTCTTTAGTGTTTCATGGTACTCCACTAGGGTCCTCATTATCTTAGAACAGTCCCAACCTTTATTATGGTGCACCAAACTCTTCAAGGAGCTGCTGTGGGTTACAACATTTCTATCTGCAATGTCATTATGCAAACCCCCATATGTTGCCATGCATTATGTCCTTAATAAACCATACGTAGAGAAGTTCTTACCATTCCCCGTGCTGAATGAAGGAACAAAAGTCGTATTCTAAATTACAAAGTACTGCAATGGTGTCGCTGTAAAATTTCTTGCCTGATGCCCTTTTTTTTTTTCCCTTTGCTTGTCAAGCATTGAGAGCACTTAAGCTTTTTGTAGTACATTCCATTACCATGAATGAAGCAATAATTCTAAAAAGGACAATCTTATCTTCTATAAACATACTTGCTTGGATACTAGATGCCTGCTGACAAATTCATTTTATTATTTTGCTGTTGTACATTTTCCCCAAACCCTAAGGTTTGTACGCCGGAAACATTCCATCATTTGTATTCCCTTTCTGCTGAAACAGATGCCCATGTACCATATTGGGTCCCACAATGCTACCATACGCTATGTGCCTGCTCATACCTATGTTTTCATGTTCTGTCCTTCCTCTATGAATGTCAAGTGTCTTCACGTCTCCTATACTTAAACAAATCTACAGACTTGAACAATAATACACTGCAACCTGTGTACCTAACCTACCGATTATTAACACATTTGTTTTTTTGAAGCAGAACTCCAGCAAAACCTCTAAATAGCAGATAAAACACATCACATATTTGTATTTAATCTGCCTAATGTATTTTGGAGTTGTGTGATTTACACATCCCAGCCCCCCTATTGTCAAAGGTGACATCGATGTCGGGGCCTACAGCTCTTTAGCTTCTGGAGTCACCTGCACTGGAGACTGCGAACATCACCGTGTTAATATGTGCTCCATGACACCCCACTAGCTCCCAGCGCCTGTTCAATGGGGTTTACTGAACTGTACAGTACTAACATGCGGTTTCCTTATGTCGGCATTCCTACTAATCCTTAATGATGGTGTGCCGAGTATTATGGCCATGTTCTGGTAATTGATTTCATCAGTATTTAAAATGCATTCGTTTGAAAGATTACTTAACTGACCTTCCTTTTTGTTTTACCCCATTTGCCTGGAGTTTTGCTTTAAAGTACTGAATTTGTTTTATTTAACTCCTTGTTTATGGAGCTTCAGCCACATTTTTCCCACCCTTTTCAGTTTCTCAAGTTAAATTTGAATATGGAGTTACTTGTTTAAAGTGACTCTGCCAACTATTAAAGAAAACTAAAAACGTGGCCACCGCACAAAGAAAAGCATCAATAAAGCACCAAACTCTATTGTCTTTCAGAGAGCATTTTGCTGACGAGTCTTTGGCATCAGAACACTTCTGGGAGTGTCGGACACCTGGTCCCCCCACTGAGCTCTGTGGTTTTAGCCACTGGCCACCAGTCATGTTGCAGGGGCCAGCATAAAGAACCACAGCACATGGCAAGGGATCGGGGATCCAACATAAAATGTTCTGATATCTCAGAGTGCGGTATTGTGGGTGGTGGGACAGGCAAGTATTAATGCTTTTCATTTGTAGGTATTAAGGAGGCCAGCTTGCAGAGTTGTGTTCAGTTACAATGCCAATATTTCATTCATTTGGCTGCTTTTGAGATGTCTAATGTTCAGATTTTATGTTTTTTTTTTTTGTTTGTTTTTTTTTTGTCGTGCCTTTTTGTACAGTGATTTTAAATAAATCCGGAGCCTTTTTGTATAGTACTATTAAAGTTTGTAAGTTATAAACGGCCTGTTATAAAAGCTGTATACTCTTTATTACTGAAAAAAATAAGATGTGTTTCTACTGATGTATTTTTTTTTTTTAATGCAGGAAAAGCCAATAATGCAGTTCTGAAGCTGTTTATAATAAAGATATTTTCCACTCCAGTTGTGGATGTTTTTGATTCTGTTATTGACAAAAATATATCGCCTGTCGCATAATACTCATGTCAGATATTGATTCTTCAACTGAGTGTGACCTTGTATTGGCCCATGGATCAACCTTCAAATACCCCACTAAGCTGACGATCTGTGGTATTTATGCCGAGGATCCTGTCATCTGACATGTCTGCAGACATGGAAAGGTCCTGTGTGACACCAGCCTTTAAAGCAACCTGTCAGTATAAGTAACGTTTTCCAGAACCGGTATCTTTTGATGGCACAGGAGTGATGAGAATGCAAAAGGTTTAAGGTTAGAGTTACAAAGAGTGTTTAGTTTCTTCCCAAAAACCTTTTTATACAATAGGATAAGATTATGGGAACGGCTGTAGTGGACTTTGTGAAAATGCGTGCTCCATTGTGGTCCTCATTGTTCATCATATAAAGGGCTATTGTAAACTCCAAACATGAACTTCTTTTCCTTTGGTCCCCGTAGGTAAGGTTAAATATACCATCAATAGTGTTTTATTTGTTTGAGAAGTGCGAAAACATGATTTGCCACTTTCAACTTGTTCTTGAAGTGTAGGCACCAGGGCCTTTTATTCTTGCTTCACTACTGGGAAGTCGGTGACCTGGAATGTGTGCGTATCGGGTGTTGGGACAGCTCACATGGACATGCTTGATGTAGGGCAACTACTCCAAAGTATTTGAAGTCTATCTAAACCTAAAAAATCTTTAATATACTGCAGATTACCAGTCGCCCAACTTTATCAGGACAACAGAAAAAGGACAGCTCTACAGAAACTTCCTCTATAATGGAGGGGCGAAGTTCTGTAGTCCTTTATGTTCTGTTTAGGGGTGTGGTGTCTATTTTCATTGGTGGCTCAACACAAATTTTGTATAATAATTGGGAACAGTGTAACTGATAAAAATTTCAGCACAGGAAGTTATCGGGTGTCAAGATTTTCTGGCACGTTTATTCCAATTCTGACAGCTTTCTTTTAAAACTGAACTCCAGGAAAAATGATCATCTATACACCATACTGGGTGTGTATATTTTCGTTAAAAAAAAGTTTGTGTGTAGGGCCGTTGCAAAGTGTTAAAAAATAAAAACAATCTCACCCTGCAGGAAGCCAGCTCCTACACATACCAGTCTTCTGGGCACTGTGGGGAGTGAGAGATGCGGCTCAAGCAGTGAAGTACTCCAGTCACATCTCTGCCCAGCCTCACTACTCGCCCATTTATCAAATGTGTTGTTTTTTTTCCCCTCCAAAGAATACAGGGTGTTCTGTGATTGGAGTAGGAGAGGTGCCTCATCCCCACCTCCTGCTCCAATAACAAAACTTGCAAAAATAAATACAAGGCATTTTGTGACTGGGAAAGTAGTGAGGAGGGGTGGAGATGCGACTAAGGCACTTACCCGCTCAAGTCGCATCCCTCATTTCTTGCAGTGCACGGAAGGCCATTGTTGTGTTGCAAGGTAAGATATTCAGACTTTACAGCCGCCCTCCGAACAGAATATGCTGCTTTTTAATCATTTACACATTTGGTGTGTAAATGATCATTTTTCCTGGGGATTGGCTTTAAGAAGTTTCATCTCGCTGCAGTCCTGTCTTTGAAGACCTACTGGAGGGTGAAAACCACTGTGCCATATCCCCTTTAAATGGCTCTCCATGAAGAGATCTGGAAAACATGACCTGTTGGTGGTTCTAAAGGGCAGGTTTGTCCTTTTGAGGTTTGCCCACCTTTTTAACATGTTTAAGACAGTTCCTCAAAAACTGCGTCTTCAAAATTGTGTACTCTACCCCCTCTCTGCTTATTACCAAGTAGTCAACTCCCATAATCTTCTGCAATCTTCCCTACTGTATCTAGTGTTCTTTCACCGCTGATTTTAAACTTGGCTTTTCTTGAGCGTCAAGTTTTTATTGGGTCTATAATGTGTGACCATTTTATGGCACTAGTCAACATTTTAATATGAGTTGAAGCACTGTGGTCAGGGCCACATACAGTAGCAGAGCTTTCCGTGTATTGCTAGAACATATGGCACCTAAATAAAGTGTCAGATATACGTTCTTATATTGATATTATATTACAGGTAATGTACAAACAGAACAGTGTAAATTAAATATCTAAAGCTTCCTTGCCACATCTATCATCCATGGTCAACATCTACTTCTTGAACTAAGATTCTGGCTCTGAGGATGATCCCATCATGTAAAATCTGGTGTCTATGTAGTAGCCTATAAGTCACTTTCTGTGCAGACTGTATGTTTCCTACCAATCTATTGCCCTGCTGCTGACTGCCCTTTGACAGTCACTTGTACAGTCAGGGTGATTAATGGGAGAGGAGTACTGTATGAGTAAATGCTTTCTGAAATGGACAGATGTTGTCATTTTCCCAGGCTGCAACTCTCCAACTTGGTCATAGTCACATGACTACGGCAGGACTGCTTTCTAAATGTAAAGGTACCAGTATTTCAGTTTCTGTACATTGTGTAATGTCGGAGTTATTCATGCAGACCTATAACGTTACTGGTAATGCTTTGATTGTTACACATCCTACAGGTGTCGGATACAGTCATGAAGAATATGGACACTACAGGTATCCATTTCAGTCGGATTTCCAGTTTGGAAACGAAAGTTGTTTTTAAGCATTCTCCCCACCAATATGTCTGCTGGTAAAGATATAGTCCAGGGTGATGTTACAAACATGGAACAGGTTTATATCATGTTTTGAAATGTTTAAAAGATGAATCATAAATAAAATGAATATCAATCTTATTAAATACACTTCTTTAAAAAACTATTTGTAACAGACCGTGCACTCTTTTTTTTTTTTTTTTTTTTTTTAGTTTTATTGACACACAACATGAGCTCAAAGGAGCATTTACAGAACAGTATTATACAAGTATTGCAATGTATTTACTATTTTTATAACATTTCAAAAGGCATCAGGGCTTGTTTCTATCTGATCTGCATCAGGTATATTGGAATGGAAAATTGGGATGTTTTGTCCATTCTTCAATTCTAGAACGACTTCCTGGAGACTCCACCTATAAATTAAAAAATAAATAAATATATATTTAGGTATACAGTAATACCTTGGTTTACAAGTAACTTGGTTTGAGAGTGTTTTGCAAGACAAGCAAACATTTCTGAAAAATGTTGCCTTGATATACAAGCAATGTCTTGCAATAAGAGCAAAATTTTGTAGAAAAGCACCACCCGAATAAGGCTGTAGCAGTGCGAGCGATGAGTCTGTTTAAGGACAATGCAATGTCCCATTGGATAGATTCCTTGTTAAGGTTTCACGAAATGAAAAAGATTCCATTGAGTCAAGAGATAACAGTGATTCCGTTAGTGATAGTGAAAGTCGTCCTACCCAAAAATCCTCCTCTCTCTTGTCCCCCTCACACCAGCCACGAAGGTACCGGTACTTGGTTTATTTTTCGTTATATTTTGTACAGTATTATATTACAGTACTGTATTGTAATCATTTTATATGAATATTTTTAGGTTGCGGAACGAATCATCTGAATTTCCATTATTTCCTATGGGGAAATTCGCTTTGATATACAAGCTCTTTGGATTACAAGCATGCTTCCGGAACGAATTATGCTCGTAAACCAAGGTATTACTGTACTTGTGCTACATTTATGTCCATTTGCACACAGTGGCTGGAACAGTATGCAATTGTCAAATGAGGACAATATGATCTCTACTTATTCATACTGTCAGGAACTCTAACCACACCAAACATGGGTCGGGAAATCATTTGATTTTTGTGGTCTGTGTTCCTGGCTCTCTTAATGATGACAGACTGTGTGAGACTTCACTTACATGCAGTTGGGAATGAGCATTATTAATAAATAAATATTGCTCCCAGCTAGTGGCTGGTTTCAATCTTGACAATTAGACACAGAAGCATGTTGTCACATAGGGATTATTCAGGCTCTGGATTCACATAGTGAAGGTCATAGGCAAGCCTGTTTGCCACACACATATTTTAGGTCAACCTTAATTATATTTCTTATTTGCGCAGATTATTGTTTCCCAGCCTACCCCATTTTCTCTCTTTTTGTGTATTCCCAGTTACAACAATAACACAAAACAATTTAGGATGTTAGGGGCACAAACACATTTCCTATACAGAAACACCCACCTTTGATTTAGATGGTCTCGTACAGCTGAAGTACACAGATTGCCAGTAAGAAGGGATCCAGACACTGGTATCTTGATCTTCAAACAAAAGTGTTTTAAACAAATGTTATATAGAGGACTCAGATTTTTTCATTCCCATGATATATGTTAGCATTCTCATAGCTTGATTTAAGGAGATGACTAACAGACAATTAGAATTGTGTATGTGCTGACGGTGACTCGCAAGAAAAGTATGGTCCATCGTAATGGTCTAATTTATTTTTGAAGGCATTAGCTTAGCCTTCCTCGGTTCGAAAGGACTTCAGTTATATATAAACAATATACTACATTTTTTATTTTATTGAAATGTTATATATATATATATATATATAATTTTTTTTGTGGGG